TCCTAGTGACGCGTCACTGTATCCAACTAACCGGTGGTCGAGCCCTCTGTAGGTCAACTTCAAATCTCGACTATGTATCAGATACTTCAACACTCTTTCCACTGGGAGCCAGTCTTCAGAGTGAAGTTGTGACATTTCTTCGTCAACATATTGACACTATAGGAGATGTCGGGTCGAGTGCAGTTTGTGAGGTATAGCAGTGCTCCGACGGCTTCTCTATACGGTACCTTTTTACTTAAATCTAGAGTCGTTTCTGACTTCACCACCTTTGTCGACTTCCTCTCAGCTTGAGGAGTCGGCATAGGCGTCAGGGCCGGCTTCGCCTTTTCCATACCAAATCGTTTGAGAATCGAGTCGATGTATTTAATTCGACTCATCTCAAAGATTCGACGTTTATATCCCTTTTAATCTCAATGCCAGGAATTTCTAGGGTGACCCTAAGATCTTCATCTTAAATTCCTTGCAGAGACTCTTTTTAATCTGTACTATCTTGTCATTGTTGTACCCGTTACGAGTATGTCATCAACATACAACAAGACTATGACCGTAAGTCCGTCCTTTCTCCAGTAGAATAGACATGCCTGTCCATCATAAACCTCGAATCCGAGTTTGACCATGGTCGACCGGAATCGTAAGTACCAGCGTTTGGGACTGACTTTCAACCCATACAGTGCTTTCTCTAGGAGGCAAACGTGTAATCTTCGAAACTTATCTGTCACTTTGACACCATCTGGGATCTCCATTAAAACGGGTTTTCAAGGGTAGAATTTAGAAAGGCGGTATCGACGTCCATCTGAAGGATTTCCCACTTCATCCGTTCGCTATTGCGAATAACGTTCGTACATCGCCGACTGCTACAACCGGGCGTACACCTCAGAGTAGTCATAGACGTGATGATCTTTAAGCCACGGGTAACCAACCGTGCTTCTAAATTCAGTTCCATCCATTTTTGTCTTGGTGGTAAATACCCATCGGGAGTCAATCACATTACCCTTTATTGGCCGTTTTATGTACCTCCACGTTTGGTTGTCAGATTGTGACTGAAGTTCAGCACCTATTGCCTCTAACCAGCTGTCTCTGTCGGGTCTATTTATCGCTTCCCTGTAGGTCTTAGGATTCTGAGTCACCTTGCACATCATCGAGAAATACTCCTTCTCATGGACTTCGGGAGTCTGAGTGGGATCTCCGATGATGAATGCATCTGGTTCATACTCATCATCTGAGTTGATGTCACTCAATTTCTTAAGCTTACGTGGCAAGGAGTCATCCCTACGTGCGCGCTTTGCACCTGTGATTACCTCCACTTCTGGCACTTGATAACAAGTACAGTGTTCCGGAAAACCACAGTAACACGCAGTTACAAGTCCTTCGGCCAGTCTAACATCAGTCTCCTCTGCCTCGGGGTCTATACCCTTCTTAAACTTGGGAAACGGATTCTTTTGGTAATAATCCGGCTTGAAATGACTTCTGAAAGTGTCGGATTCCGTCGGTCTTATGTTACTACAACGAATATTTCACCAGTCCTTACATTCAAGAGTTCCCATGAGTTATGTTGGCTACCTACCAGAATGCAAGTTTCACCCTTCGGTGCAAACTTAGGAGTTTTCTTGTCACTATATGGCTTCCTTCGGATAACAACGCAGCCAAAACGGTAGATATAGGATAGGTCGGGCAGCTTGTTCCGAAGTGCCTCATATGGTGATTTCATGTCTAATTTCTTATGCGGCAATCGATTATAAGAGATGTACTGCCTGCTTCAGTGCCATTTCCCAAAATTCGATCGGCAACCCTGAATCTATCAGCAGACATCTCATCTTTTCTGCTAATGTCCTGTTTAGGCGTTCAGCAACACCATTCAGTTGTGCAGTATCCGGAGGAGTTACTCCAGGATAATCTTTTCACGCTCGACTATCCCTTTCATGTCTTCTGTCTGATACTCAAGGCCGCTATCAATACGTAAGTATTTGATCGTGGCATTTGGATCACCCATGTAACCTCTCATTGCATTCAAGAATTCTAGAAAGTTTGTGCCAACGCTCTTCTTATTTTTCATAAGGAATGCCATGGCGAATCTAGTCTTGTCATCAATGAAGGTTACTATGTACTCGCTACCTTCTCTGGCACCAGGAGGACTGATCTTACCCATTACATCGCTGTGTACGCGGAATAGGGGCCTCTCAGCTACCTCCCTCACCTCTTATGAGGAGTGCGAGTGATCTTGGCCAATTTGCACGTCTCGCAGTCGAGTATCTCATTAGGTATCTTGACATGACTCAGTTGTGGATGATACTTTTCACAGCCTCAAGATACTGCTTCGATGGGTGACCGAAACGGATGTGGAACAAATGACCGAGGTTCTCCTCTAAGTGTGTGAATTCGGTTTCCCGAATTTTACTAAGTTCCTTCACTTCAATATTTCGCTCCGAGTTCGATGTACTCAATCAGTCCGTTTTCATCTAGTTTTTCTAGGCATGGGGCCTGATTGTAGTCATGTTCGCGAGCAATATTGGCAGGAGGGTTGTCCGGTTCGTCTGATGCAGGCTTGGTGTAGCCATGATCGACCGTGTTAAACGCCCTCTTCCTAGGTTCCTTAGTAATTACTTCATTACACACCTGTAGGTCAATGTTCCAGCCTTTGTTCTGGTTTATACCCTCGAACAGCACTTTGCCGGATGCGTTATCCACAACCTCTACCTTATCGAGCTTGTATACAACTGTGGTGTTTTGCTTAACAAGTCTGTGTATGGACAAGAGATTTTCAGAGAGTTCTTTCGCATACATCACCTTCTCTAACTCCCAGGTACCCCCGTCTAAGGTCTTGACAAGGATTATACCTCGGTGCGTTACCTTAAGGTCGGCACTATCGTTAGCGTTAGCACTGGAAATGTATATCGGTTCTGACAATTTTACTAATTTTTCAACAACTTAAGGTCGTTGACAAGTGATCAGAAGTCCAGAGTCAGATAGGAACCGACATACATTATCCGGTCCATTCTTAGACTTAACAAACTGAGCTCTAGGTTGGGTACGCTTTCTCATTACGCACAGCTTACCTTGTGCATTGTACGAGTTCGAGCTTAAGTTTGAGCTCTGCGTCGACCACGAATTAACCGAGCTTCCGAGTCTGAAGTCTTTTCGTTAGTAGCACGTCTAGCATTTCTGCGACGTCTTCGTCTGTTTTGTGCTGGCTAAACTTTAGTCCGCCTGCTCTTTAGACTCATTAGGTCTACCTCGTCCTGCACGACTATCATCAATCTGTGTGCAATCTTCCGGTTTCAACGGACATCGCCGTATCTTATGGCCCGGTCGATGACACCGATAGCACAGTCGTTCAAGGACAGCTGCAATTTCCACAGTCACATTAGTATCTAGTCTTTCTCCCGTGCACGCAGGCTCCCTTAAGTACTTTTGCATATATTCTATGCAATCTAAAGGGTTTACGTGCATTTTAGAATCGGGGTGTGGTCGTTTAGCAATGGTTTTATGAACCATGACGGTTTCTGAAACCACTTTTTGCCACTTGTCTAAATTAGCGTATGCGTCTTGAGACCAACGCTTGAGACGCTTGTTCTTTTTCAAGCGTTTTGGTTCTTTGCGCAAAACCCTAGTCGGTTTCTTCGGAATTTTCGGCATACCTTTCGTGGTTTCCCTGTGCGTAACTCGTGATCTGACGGGTCTGAGGATGAGCTTGTCGACTCAGTCCCCGGTCGTTGACCATTCCCCAGAAGAGTCTCTATGATTACCGTTTTCGCGGACATCATCTGAGCCATCTGTATAACAGTTCAAAGAAGAGGAGTCAGACATATGTTTGTCCTTCTTTTCCGATAAATCAAGCAGTATCTGATCTGATCGAGCGTTTGAGCATTGCCCTGCTTCGGATCATTCCACCAGTTTTGGCCTACAGTCAAGTCTGTCGATGAGTCAGATATGTCGCTCCCTCTGTCTTTGACTTCTCTGTCCCAGTCTGAGTCAGATACGTCCATTCCAGACTGGCTAGTCAAGTCGCTAGTATCTGGTGCGAAACACTTCTTTATAGGAATGTCAGTCTCCGAGTCAGTCAATAGTCGTCTACGTTTGTCATTCCAATCGTTGCGTTCAGGTGTCGGATATCTCTTTCCAGACGTATCTGTGTCGGAGCCTCTCGGGTTTCTAAGCTTCATGCGCCCGGTCGCGGGTCCTTTGACCTTTCGTCGACTTGCGCCACTTTTCACCCGTTCACGAGTAGGCCTAAACAGTTATAGACTTTAAAACGGTCCTACGGAAGTCGGCGCTGACACAGTGCATCTTTTTGCGAGATACTATCCGATTACCTTCCCACACTTCGATTTAATTGATTCACAATATAAGTCAGTCCACTCGGTATATGATAACGTTTAAAAGTATGTTTTAGGCACCTACCCTTAGTCTTGCGCCTTATTTGCTGACCATCATCTGTATCGGTCGCATGCGCTGACGTACTCGGTCCCGTTTGCATGATCGGACAATTGTCCCAGTCGTCGTTGTTACGACGTTGGACCTGAGCAAACGACGCACGAGGTCGTCGTTGTCCTCGGACGGACTGCGGCGGTGGTCTAGTAAAGGGACGCGGATCATCTTGTACAGACTTCGCTTGCCAATACTTAGTCCACGACTCACCACCAGTCATATTCGCCAATAACGATCCCTCTGAAAATAAATCAAGATTAGTCTTACCCAGAATTTGGTTTTCATCGATGATGTATCGACTGGACACGTCGATTCAGCTTACACCATCGTTCAGACAGAGAATCGTCTCTTAGTCATTAGTTCTTCAGCTTTGAGAGCTGCCTCCATGCCCCAGCATGACCTCCTCCATATTTGTGGGATGATCAATGCTGTCCCCATCGAGGACTTACGGTCCTCACAGCCTAGTTTTCTGAGAGCTCCATCACTATGGACATCACCATCTGGTTATTGACATCTTCCATGTCTGCTACACTCACCTGCCGGAATGCGACGTTCGATCTTCTCGATCGGCTCTCCACCAGGCGCATTTTTCCGAATGAACGGATATGCCCGTTCAAGTGCCAGTTGTATGAACTCGATCGTCGCTGGCATATCGTTGACCAATCCATCATATACCGCAGATTCCAATCGTTGCTCAAATTCTTTCAGATCGGCCTCTGGGTCGTACGGGATCTCAGCGTACTCCGCATCCGCAAACAGACGGTCGTCGACGGCACCACCGTAATCTCTCGCCTGATCGGGGCCCTCGCCCTCACGATCACTTTGACTCCACGTCGGCGAATACGGCTCCTCGTCGCTGCTGACCTGCTGTGGGACATCTCCACGTTATCAATCAGGTTCCACACTGGTACGCTACTGAATGACCCGGGGGCAGCGCCCACGCGATCATACCGACTCCACGTCGGTGAGTACAGAGCAGCACCCTGATACTCCTACCAACCTCTTGGGCAGCTACGCTAGAGGGGTCCCTTTTACAGTCTTCTCTGTTCCCTCATGGACACAGAGGCAATGCAGCACTGATCTCCAGGCAAACGATCGGTTTTGCCCAAACCCCACACGGCTCGAAGCATACCTTGACCACCGGCCAGACCGCCCTAGTCTGCCGGCCCCAAGGATGCACCACTTCCTCATGGATCCAAACATCTACGTTCCATGATCGACCAACGTGATCATTATGGCAACGACGATGTTCCTCCGAACAATCTACATTGTTTGATCCTACGGACTCAACAGAGGTCAGGCTGTTGCTCCGTTTATCTCTGTGATTAGCAGAGATCTTCCCTTTCGCATCGTTTGACTATGAAGAGTTTGTGGACGTTTTACCTGGCCAGGGTTTTCGCAAGCTCTAATATGTCAAACTGCTAATCCAGGACCTTGATTGAGGCTTAAGTCAAGGAATTTATGCCGACTCCATGCCGACATGCCGACTCCACGCCGGTCTGAGGGCTAAACCCCGACGCGGGAATCCGTCCACCGAATTCCAGGCGCCGCATCCGATCCCAGGGAACCCGCAAGTTTTTGCGATCAGTGACTTACGCTCCGCATCGTGTACTACGGTTCGAGATATTCCAGTACGATGCTCCCTCCGATCAGGCAAGCCATCTACCAATGAAATATCCCGGTAGTACGCTACTCCCTCCTATCCCCAACCATACACCAGCATTGGGTCCGTCTCCAAGTGACCTTTACTTCTTCCGGCCTCCACATTGTTCCAGATCAAATCGGAAATATGCATCAATTGTTTTTCCGGAACGAGTGTAAGACCAATTCTACCTAAATAGTCACCGAGCCTTTCCTCTCCTACAGGCCTCTCATTTTTCCCAAGGTTCTAGTTGGCATAAGCTCCGCTCATCATGACACTAGTGGAACCTGTCACTAGCACTAGAGCAACTAGCTATCCATCAACTAAGTTATGGTACTTCGGCATAAACCTGTAGAGAACGCCCATACCTGCAATGTACCAAGGCGGATAGTTCAAAAGGTTTCGCGACTTTCCTACTAAGTAACCCACCCCGCGAGTCAACTCGACGCCTGACTACTACAGCACACTGGTCGACTAATCTTAGATTCAAGGGTTGACGCTTTACGTGTCTGTTGAGTCGAAAGACACTGGGAGCTCCACGCTTATGGGTTCACTTTTCAGACAAGTCCCAATGACTAAGATTAGTCTAACCTGAAATTTCATTAATTCACTTACCATAACGAAAATCCAGGTTTCACACAAACACGGATAACACAACTAATATCAGTAGACTACTCCAAATAAATCTATAATTGTGACGAAATATTTCAATCAAAATTCAATAATTATCCGTTAATAAGCGTCAATAATATTCGCAACACGTCTGCACGCTACCACATCAACACACCAAGTGAAGCGTCGCGTCGCATTTCACATTCTCGTTACATCACGAGACTCTCGTTTCTCAAAAACGAGACTTCCATTGTCCGACCACGTTATCGTGCGAGAATCTCGTTCCCCACGAGACTTCTTTTGTTCAACCACGTTGACGCACGAGAATCTCGTTTCACTACGAGATTCCTTTGTCTAGTCACATGTTGCATAGCCAATCAGAACCAGTTCTCTATCCGCCATCTCGTACTCGGCCGCCATCTTGGCATCTGCCGCCATTTTTGGCTTTTGTTCTGAGCAACCCTTTGTTCTGACTCTCGCATTTCATGAGATTTGGCGGCCATCTTTGTTTCAAAGGAAACCGCTCGTTTTCTCGTGGTTTTATGTGACCTTCCTTTGTGGGTACTATTTTTCTCCAGTTTCATCTAACTTTCTCTCGTTAGGAATACTGAGTATTCTCATAGATCCACACTTGGAAGTCATCACCACTAACTCATGTGCAACTCTGACAATCCTATCGGACAATCAACGATTGAACAACGATCGTGTAACGATCAATCCATAGTTGTCAGATCTCTGACACTTTTAACGAACAATGAACGATCAGTCATCGATCCATTCTCATCACAGTGGTGTTCTGATCCATTTTCCACTGATATTGCGTCACATTGCAATTTCATGATCAGAAGCTTCTATCAGGAATTTGTAACGTCTGATATCTACCACTTGACTTAATGATCAACTGTATCGATGAACTATCGTTCAGAACACTTTCTATCACCATATTTTCATCACGTTTGCTTACCCAAGCTTCAGTACTATCATGTACTTCTTCCATGATCTTCATGATCTAAGTTACGTTTTGCTATTGAAACTTAAATACGCAAATTATGTAAACA